TCTCGGTGTCTTTCTGTGCTTCCTCTACAGGCTCTGACTTGTCTGAATGGCCAAACTGTAGACAGTTTGACTACCGATAGAGACAAAGCCTATTTTTACTTTTACTTCACCTCCCCACTTCATCAGTTCCTCCATCTCTTCGTTTTAAAGTAATACTGTTCGTCGTAGGAGGACAAATATAAAATTTAATCCCCGAGCCGCGCGTTCTATGCAGGATTACACAGACTGATGGAGAATCTGTCTTCTGAACTTTTATTTTGACCTCTCGCTCTCTCTCTCTCTCTCTCTCTCGCTCTCTCTTGTTGGCAGGACGCTCCGTTTCCTCTCCACTTTGTGGGAACGGGAAGCAACAGCATTGTGTTGGAGCTGACTGTGGTGTAATCATTAATGAGCACTAACAGTCGGGACAGGACAGGCATGGCCTACAGCCTGGGACACACACAAGACGGTAATACTATTATTATATATACAGCCTATTTGCATTAGCACGGTATTAACGTGATTGTGGCTTTGGTATTATATCTGTGGTAGGCCTATGCCAGCAGCAGCCCACAGAGTAAATATGAAAAAAGAAATTTGAAAAATACAAATAATAATAATAATAATAATAATAATAATAATAATAATAATAATAATAATAATAATAATATAAAGGCAGAATCATAGCTTTTCCTGATTCGAGGTACAGCTCTGCTTAAGCTAAGAATATTGTCAAGCCAATTGAAGTGTTGGTATAGTAACATACCGAAAGTTTTGTTACGAAGCATCTATGTATTTTATATGACAATTTTGCAGAGATTAGCAGTTTATTTAAAGTATAGATTAATGTAACATTTTAAGAATAACTTCAGAGGAGATCTCACGAACTTGTAGTTTGGTTCTAATGCTGGAAAAGCAACATGAAATATCATCATCTTATCATCTTATATCATGTGACTGCATGGAAATATTCATAGGCAACACTGCATGATGACATTGTCCTCCATGTTTCAAGTGGACATATATTTATGTGTCATTGCAGATGCAATTGCAGTTGGGAGAAGCGAGCGGCAGACGACACGAAATAGCAGAGCAAAGAAAAAAAACGGATGCACCTAAACTTTGGAAACATTTTGCTATTTGAGAACCGGATGGTTGGTCCCTGTGCGAGTGTGTGTCAGGGAGAGGAGTGGGGTGGACATAAAGGAATAGCAGAAGGACATAGTCTGCTTTAAAGCTAGTAAAGAAGTCACATTTTATGTCACATGACCTTATGCTTTGTTGTGTTTTACTGCCTGATATTTCCTTGTGTCGATGGGGATATTGAAGTCTACCAAACTTTAACTTGCCGTCCACCAGTATTGAAAAAAAGTGAACGGGGCTGTGTACCGACGCTGCTGAGAGCATTACCATGACATTGGGTGTGCTAGACCTTTGTGCCGAAGTTCAACGAATTATTTATTTGAGTAACTACAATACAAAATGGGAGACTTAAAAGACCACAAATAACATAAGCTACCTCGGATGGCCTGTTAGCTGCTTTAACCACCCCAAAATCAGTAGGCTAACAGCCTTCCAGTCATTAGCTATATAGTTATTAAGTTTTTACCACTGGTCCAACACTAATAACAGGGTAATGACAAGAAGCGAAATCTGTATATGAATCATAATGACACAAATAAATAGAAACTGTAGAGAGATGGAATGGTCTAGATTATTTCAGAAAACAAAGAAAGAAAAAAGTTAATATTCTGGGACATTCTCCCACGTTAAAAATTGGTTGGATGACAATTACAAATCCCATCTTTTTTCTAAACGGATATGCGTTTTAAGCCTGCTGTATTCCTGCACAGTAAATTTACTGGTGCAGCTTCAGAGTAAACAGCCGAGAGGCGCTGAAGGAACTCCAGGAATCCGGGAAACTTCAGAGATTATCGACAATTAAAGCTGAAAGAGTCAGGCGGCTGCTTTATGGCTTTATGGGTCCCTTTCACCTTTTGCGCGCGCGCGCGTGTGTGTGGAGGGGGGGGGGGGTATGTGCGAAGGAGAAAGAGAGAACTCAGGACTTTTATGGTTTTATGACTTTTTATGACTCCTTGTAAAGTCCGAGGAATGGCTACGAACTGAAAAACAGGCCCGCAGCAAAACAGCAGATGAACAAATGTGCTGTTCTCCGCACAAGTAACGAGCACTGTGCATCTCACCTGTGGTTTATTTCAGCCGTGGCAGTGATAGGATCGAGTGCATTTCACGGGTTAAATAATTAACCGTCTATGAAATTAAAAATTCACTGCTTATCCTACTAAATTACTCTTATGTGGCATTTTAGTACGAGTTATTTACAAAAAGGAGTTCAAAACTCTGCGCGCATCAGACTGGTCCTTGTCCTTGTCATTTTAAGTAGGTGGTCTGTTATAATGTCATTCATTTAGATATTTTATGGGTTTTACCCATGTCAGAAAAAACGGGGACATTTTTTGACATAAGTAGAATACTTTCGCTCTTAGGATCGTATAGAAGATTCCAGAAGTTGCGATGCTTGGAGATAAAAAAGTTCATGTGTTCAGAGTTTAGATACATACAGTTTCTATTGCTAATTCTCTCGCTCTGTGTGTGTGTGTGCGCGCGCGAGAGAGAGAGAGAGAGAAAGAGACCTCTTCTGCTTCACCAGTTAATGACAAACTCCAAAAAAATGCCTGACTAGTACTTTCTCTTGTTTAATATATTAATCGTTTCCAGGCAGCGCGAGTCGACTCGCCGCGTCCTTCAGGGTACTGTGAGCACGCGCTCCAGGTCAGTTCACTGGACTATTACCGGTGGACGCGAGCCCTCAGCCACAAAAGGCCTCGGGACCAGTTAAAGTTTAACGGGTGGGTGAATGCAGCATCAGAAAGAGCCGCATATTTTTCGGCTAAATAAGAAGACCCGAGCTTGATTATTCAAACTGTGTTGTTCGACATTATTTGGTCAGACAAATAATAATAATAATAATAATAATAATAATAATAATAATAATAATAATAATAATAATAATAATTTATCTTCTGGTACTATCATCCTGGCAATCGTTATTCTAACAGCACAGAAAATCCTGTCGAGGTATTTATCCGCTGCGCAGACCACAAATAGGTGAAGCGAAAACAAATGTTGTATCTGATCACAATACTGAAGTTGAATACTCAATTTAAAGTGAGACTATGCTAAAGTCATAAATTAAACAGAACGCCACAGTTTTCCCTCCATGAGGGTCTGTCAGATGATTACACACACGTTCACAACTGGAAACATATATCTGAGTGGGGCTGCACAACAGATTTACAGATAAGCGCAAGTGATAAAACCACAAAGCAAGGACGAATTAATATGCTTACACACACACGAACACGGTGAAGCACATGCACTCACATTCCCTGCTTGCCGCTCTATTCCGAAACAGCCCTCCTGACCAATCAGCATAAATTTTGCATCCAGAATTACTTTTCCTTGAGCACATCCAGTGCTCGTGCGCACGCGCAAACACGCGCACACACAAGCACAGCATTCTTCTGGGATTTTGTACACACACGGTTTTCTCCACGTTTCATTCACCAGTGTAAAAGCACCCAGCCTAACCTTGGCAACAAAGCAGGACGGAGAGAAACACCCGTTTCTCTACCTCAGTGCTACAAGTCGACCTTTCCAACCCTACATCAAAGACAAAGAAAAAAAATCTTCAGCATACACTCTTGTGAAAGCACACAAAAGCTTTTTGTGCCACTCGCTGGGGTTGACCTGGTATTATTTTTCCAGAGGTAATACATAAGTAAAATTGCGGGCATGGTTTTTGTAAATCGCATTGACACTGACCCAAGGATGTATAACTTGTGTTTCCGAGTCTTGAGAAAGAAGAACCTGTGTATGTGTCTATGTGCTCTTTGGTATTGTTGTTAACGGAACACTAGATGGCACCAGAGTGTCTTGTTAAGTGCGGACTCTGGGCTACTCTGAAGCTTCATTGTAAGGACTGCCGTCGAACACAAACAGCCTCCGGATTGTGTCTGTCTATAACCGTTGCTCCCAGAGCTGTGTGATCACAGCTTTACAGGAAAACAGACTGTTGGCTTCAACTTATCTACCAAAACAGAGAACACAAGACAGAAAGACACACATTGCTCGTACCTTATATACCACTCTCTAAATGTTACTGTCTTCATTTAGTATTATATAACAATTCTATTTGTGTTAAATTATCCATTTTAGTTCCAGAATTTCAAGACATACTTTAGCATCTGTATATGATCCATATTGTTTGACGGTTAAATATAACTACATCTGTAGTATGTGAAAAATGTATAACTAAAAATGACACTTCTAAATATGGTAAATAAGACCGTGAACATCTCTCGAGTCCGTGATTATTAATGCACACACACACATAAACACACACGCATACTGCTGCTCTAAACCTAGTCAATGATTATAATAATAAAAATAATACTACACTGCTGACAATAATGAGTGTCAATAGCTGATTTGAGATTCTGCGTGGACTTTCTCTGTTCAATAACCTCAATACTATATTGATATCTGCGACAAAAATATAAATATTTTAGCATACGTGTTTGTTAAAACCCATAAGTATGCTTAATGCATTTCAATAAAGTCACATTTTTAAAGCAACTGTTTCACGGTACCTGGGACCAAAAAGAAATTCAATTTCAAATTTAATTAAATTTCATCTATACAGCGCCAACTCACAACAGTCTCATAAAGGCGCTTTATATTGTAAGATAGGCCCTACAATAGAAATCCCTTCCAATCGCAAACAGATTAAAAAAATATACATAATTTATTATACATTTTGTTTCTCTGTTCTATGTTTGCGTTTGTTTTACTTATCACGTTCAGCGTACCCCGTAACTTAACGAATGCACGATTAATTTATGTTCCGTTTACCACTACAGACGGAATAAAGAATTTGAAAAGTGCCGCAGATCTGTAGCCACGACTTAGTGTGATCGTGGCTTTAGAAAGTCCGGCACGGCGTATTGCATGTGGCTCACAATATATCCCTAAAACGAGGCAGTGACTTTATCTTAAAGAACTGGTGTTTATTGACAATACTGAATTTTTCACGAAGCAAGCCTGTTGATTCTAGGATATATGTTCATCATGCTACAGCTTACTATTAGGCATATCCTTGTGTCTACTGTGTGTTTTAAACCATCCTACTGCATAAGAATGATTGTGTTAGCTATTCATCTACAAAGCGGAATTGGAAACGACTCGAAATGTGGTTTAACTGTAAAAATACATGTGCATACATTTCTATGAGTGGTTTGTGAATAATTTGACAACAACCAAATAAATTACTATAAGGTAAAATACAAGTTGTTAAAGTGTATATTTGTCCAGCGAAAATTTCCACAGCCGTTTGCAGACTTGCAATGTTCTTAGATAATCAGTCAGACCCTGTTTTGTATGAGGAGGAATATCAAGGTTACATATGAGCACATATAAGCGTTAGTAAATAACAACATGTTACAATAAGAAAAACCATATAAGCTTTAAACATTGGGTAATAATGATTTGTCAGACAAGGGTAAAGATAAAAATAAAATCTTCTTTTTTTGTCCTTGTGATCAAGTGTGTGTGTGTGTGTGTGTGTGTGTGTGCTCTGAGATGAAAAGTCTGGCTTTTTGATATTTGAGACGGCAACAAATTGGAGACCAAGGAGATGACACCTACAGATGTGTTTGTGACTGTGGGGTTGTGATTGCTGGGAAAGAAAAAAAAAGTCTGCTCCAGGGAGGAAATGAGAAGGGAACCAAAGTCATAAAAGTGAGACAGACAAACATTCCTGTGCTTGTAAACTATCTCTCTCTCTCTCTCTCTCTCTCTCTCTCTCTCTCTC